TTGCCAAAAGTACTTGCCGTTCAAAAGCTAATTTTTGATAATCTAATGGAGATTTACTTGTTTCATCCAATCCTGTTTCACCTACACCGGCAATATGTCGTTCGGATAGAGGATGCAAGTTGTTTTGAAAAATGTTTTCAAGATGAGAAAGTTTTAAATGTATATCTCGTTCAGGAATGAACTTCGAGTGAATTCCAAACGTGTATGTTTTGATACGGCAACGGAAAAACCTTATCCCAATTATGAAATTTATTTTTATTCGATATTAGAAATACTTCTCGAATATTAGAAGCAGAAACTGATTGAAAGTAAGGATAGTTGTTGGAGAAATCGTCCAAGTGGCAATGTGAGTCAACAATAGGTAACTGCTTGTATAAATGAGTATGTAGAGAACATTTACATGACTCGTAGAGACTTTTCAAGCAGAGTTGTGGATTCATCACGAGCAGCTAGAAAATCAAAAGAAGAGAACAAAGAAGTCAATCTTTTAAACCCATTTGAGTTAACAGTATAATATTTAAAAAACTATTTCCAAATAATGGATTTACAATAAAATATGTCGCATTAATATTGAAAATGATGAACACCTTACGTTGGTGCAAGTATCAAAACAATTACATGTATAACTTCATTAGCGTTTTCTTTTTCCAATAGAATAGAAACGATAAATATTCTATCATATCTACTAAGACATTTATGTGTTGATGTATTATGTTCTGTTAGAGGATATATTAATACATTATCAATATAATTAATTTCTATCTAAATAAACTAATCTTATCAATTTAAATGTTGAATTAACATCACTGCACTGATACCGGCCATAATGGAGGGTATAAGAAAGCAATGTAATATTGAATTGAAGAAAAAAATGATGCTCTTTTAAAGCTTTTCCAACGGTTCTCACATCGATTCATTCTAGAATAGCTTTGAGTTACATAGGCTGGTGCTTGGTCCAAGTTTTCGTCATCAGTTTCAATAACAGATTCGTCAATATCGCTGTCATCAGTAGAACATTCATTTGACTTGTTCAGTTCAATAGAATGATTCAATACAGAATCAGTGACATTTTCATCCTCATCGCTATCGACTTCGTCAAATGTTCCATTCAATGCATATCGAGCCATTTCTACTCGCTCATTAGGATCTGTAAAATTAATTTCCAGTCGTCTATATAAACTCTGCATCATTGTTCGTAATGGCTTTTTCGCTCGATTACTAGAGGAGAAGTAAAGACGCGAAAGCAAGTCGTTTGACTTTTCAACCCCTTGCATGTCATATGCGGTCGAGTTTTCATTTTCATCCTGTTCAGCTAAATGATTACCAATCAAATGCATGTAAGGTGTACATCCAGTTCTTAATCCTGATTGGCGAAAATCTTTTACAAAAGATTTGGCCACATCAGCTAAGGCACTTGTTCTCTTAGATTTCTTTGTTTTAATCAGTTGAATCATGAACTTAAATTTCTCTACTAGATTTTTTGCATTTTTAGAAATGGTCTCATTTTCAATAATTTTCTCATATGGGAATGAATCGACAAAGAATGATTGTTGTAAATGGCCGGAAAAGCGTCCACAAGGTACAATCGTTTTTACATTATTTTCTGTCTCTAATTTGAAGAAAAAACGCTTTCCTATAGTAGCAATAGAATGCTTGTTTAAGATTTCGAGTTTTTCTTCTAATTTTTTTGTATGTACTGGCTCATACTCTCCTGTACGTGACGCTTCGGCGAAAATATCTTTTAAAATAATATCAAATATTCCCAATCGCATATGAAGAGTGTCCATAACATAATCACTGAACTCAAATAAATCGCCAAAAAATGGTTCAGATTGATATCCTAATTCATTGTTTAGTCCATTTTTTTCTTTTTTTTTCGAGGGCAATACGTTTCTCTTTCAGAGTTCTAGCACCACGAGTAGGATCGTACGAAGAAGTAGGATTAACGATGGTTTTTTGTTTTTGTCTCTTTTTATTTTTTCCTGTTCCCACCCATACTTCTTCTTCACACTCTGTGTTTTTCTCAGTAACATGTAAGTAAGATTTATTTTGTGTGCAAAAAACACACGGATAGTTGCAATGAACTCCAGCAAGTCCGAAAACATACACTACATTTTGAAAAATATCCTCCAAGCCGAATTTTGACTGCTACAGTTTTCTTCCGAGTTACGTTCAAATACTTTACAGATTGAATAGAATCGAGAAAATCTTTTGGTAAAGTTTTACGCAAAGTTCATTTGACTCTTTCTGAATCTCAAAAATACCAACAGGTACTAGCTTTTTAGCAGTATGACAAGATGGTCCTCCATCAACACAATTGACTGATATAGCAACAACATGTTTGTTACCCATTAGAGTACCGTCCATATTTAAACGAAATGAAAGCTGATTCAGTTGTAAAATGTCAGGACGGAATTTAGTAGCAACAAAAACAGCAGCTCGTAGAGCAAATTCAAATGACACATATGCTGAATCTTTGGTAAATTTCAAAGGAATTTTCTGATTAGATTTATTTCGTACTTGTTCAAGTTCTCCCATGGAATAAAAAGACTCTCTATTCTCCTTAAAAAAAATTGTACATAGCTTTGATAGCTGAGTCTGTAATGTGATGTTCATCTTTTATATGAAGAAATTTTCTTTTGAGCTCCTCTTTTTTAATAGACAGAGGATTTTGCTTATCGTTTCTTTTTGAGGCAGAAGCGACACCTGATTGTCAAAGACAATCGTCGTCATCCGACGATTCATCTGAATCACTATGATCATTATCAGATGGTACTGCTTGGCTTTTTCTCTTAGTGCCTCTCGTAGAATAAACTGGTCCTAATAAAACATCGAGATCAATATTTTCTTCTTGTGAATCACGATAGTCTGAATCATACAATATAATGATGCACGTAAAAAAATTTGATTCAATATTGTTAATTCGTCTATCTAAAATTGTTGATTTTATCGTTTCTTCAGTTTTTACGATATCTGGTCTAATTTGTCGTTTTTGACAATATGTTCTTATAATGATAAGAGTCTCATTGATATCAATGTTTCCAGTTAGATAAAAAAATTCAAATGCTCGAAGAGCAAATGATTCACAAATATGTATGTGTAAACACGTATTGCCAGGTTGAATACATATAGTATCTTGATCTCGAACTAGTAAAATACGATCTGATGAATTAACAGATTCATATGTACCAAACATAAGGCACAAAAACTCATCACTCTTGTTTACGGGTACAATAGCATTTGAATGAAAAGAAAACGTATTTGTTTCCATTTATACCTTCGTCACAGTTATATGTCTAGGCTTCGCTTTTTTCTTCACATCACGCACAAAGCAACTCAATTGACTATATAATTGACGACGCATCTTCGGCACATCAACATAAAATTTGACCGTAGAACGAAAACAATAACAACAAATCTCATTAGTTGAATAAGAAATGTTGCTAGACTTTGAAGAGCGATTTAAAAATTCAAAAAAAATATCTTATATAAAAATAAAGTTCGCACAAATTGTTAGTCCTTTCTCGTCCATGTAATCGAATGCCAGTGGAGAAATTTTTTGTGCGACGTCATTATTTGTTAACATATATTCTTGTGCATCACTACTATTATCATTTGTATCTGTTGAAGAAACTGAGCTGGGACTTAAAGAAGGACTACTATCAAAAAGCGATCGTGGAATATAAACAGGCAAAAGTTTACTCTTTGCCTTCTTTTTAGAACGAGCTAGAGATAAAGCATTTTTACAAGAATTATTAACTATGGAGTCACTAGCATAAAGAGGTTTTTCGTTCAAATGAGTTAAAACTTTCTCTTTTACCTCTTTGAGCAAACTGATAGAATCCATTGAGTCCCGCCCAGGAGGTTCAACTTCTATTTTTAATGATTTCTCACTCATCTTGATAAATAAATCAAGACGCAATTAATAATTCAAAACTAATAGAGAATAGAAATGAAATGCAAAAAGAAATAAAACTTATAAAAAAAAACAACAGGAAGATTTTTTTTTCACGCAGCGATACTAATTTTGAGACGACGCGATAACTAAATAAAAAAATGGCACATATTTCTTGATAATTAATTACTTATTTTGTTGACTCAATCGTATAAAAGAATATCAAAAGAAAAACGTTTCTATTCTACCAATATAAAATTTACTAGTCTGAAGTGTCATTAAAAACGATGAAACAATTTAACAGTATATTTCTATTAAAAAATAATCGTGTATATCTTCATTGAAGTTTCAAAGTAAAGAATGGATTGAATTCCTGTTTCTTATAAAACAATTAAAAAATCGGGTTAAACCTAACACTAAACTACTCAGACAAATAAGTCATAACAAACATGTACATATGAACGCATTTATTCTTGTCATAGTGTTACAGAAAATGTAAAACACAAAATAAATAAGAATCTACTTCTCCAGTGACAACTATACGTTCTGTTTTGTATTTGTATCAGTTTTAGAATCGAAAAATAAGAAAAACATTCTATATAGAATAAAACGATACCTAAACAAATAAATCGGAAACGAGATGAACAATATATTCGGTTGAATAATGTTAATGTAGTTGACTGAATAATCGATCGAATTTGATCACAACAATTTCTATAAATAAAAAAATATACTTGGATTATTGATATGTACTGAAATATCGATATTAATGATTTTCAACAAAAGCAAAACTTCGACTAAGAAAAATTATCTTCAACGTTGTAACCATTCAATTTCTCTGAAAAAAAAACGAGCTGAAGAGATCTATTAAAGGCTTTCAAAGGAAAAACAATCTTCTCCGTCGACTATTTTTCTAGCTTCTTCACTTGTTAAGATAAGGGATGATCATATTGATCCAATACTTGATCATATGAATATCTTTCTTATGCACATTGACATAAACATCCTTGAAGTGTAATATAGATCTTTTAACATTTTTTACGAGGCTAAATGTTGATTTATATTATCCTCTTTATACGTCATAGTTAATGATCGAAAAGGTAAAATAAAACTATTGTAATAAACAGTGTTGATATACTCAATCATTATTGTTTATTTTTCCATTTTGTTTTTTCTAACGAAAGTGTCTTATACTGATTCTAAATGTAAATAAACTGCAAAACACTTGATTGACAACACTAATATCGATTGAACGTCTCTTTCTAATTTAATAGAGATGATATACCAAATAAGAGATTTATCATGAGAATTATAAACAACGCTAACTATGGAGAAACTCTTGTTGTAAATAAAAAAATGCATTTCAATGTTTTTTTTTTATTGTAGACTTTTAGAACAAAATTCAATTAGATGATAAATGTCTAAACTTGTTAAACATCAGGAACTCATGAGATACCTAAAGTTTTAACAAGTATTGTGTATGTAGATTGACGTTGAATTGAAATGAAGATGAATGATCGCCAATGAGAACAATTTCGAATAATCTGAAATGAAACTAAGATGATATCTATGTGAACATGTGTCTAGATGTATATGTTGATATGATAAACGAGACGCACTAGCCCAAGTCATGGCAACATGTGCAAGCTCGTCAATCGTTTTTCTCTTTCTACTTCAACTCTCAAAGTGAAAACGACGCGTGCGATAAACTGTCATTGTTGTGTCAAACAATGATGTCTGCCGCGTGTATCATAATATCTTCTTCTTCGTCTTCTATTGCAACGTATAAGTTGATCACTCGACTACTTCATCCTTCTAATCGTATATTTTCAATAATCGAGAAAAATGTCTGAATCTCAACAAGAGAAACAAAACCAAGAGCAGGATTCAATAATCGAACTTGTTGTCTTCAACTCAAACCGGAAAAAATAAGCAATCGCTGTCATCAAACATAAACAAGAAAAAAAAACACAATGTTTATCACTCATGGTCGAACAAAAGTAAACAAAACAACAGAAAATCGTTTTGGAAAAATCCATCATCATTTGGTCAAAATAAATATGGTTCACCTAGTTTCTGTTCTTCAACTTGGCAAAGTACAGCAGGTAATGAATCTAGCGAGCGAATATTTTGTCACAATAGAGGCTAGAAAATTTAAGATAATAGTCAGATTTGTCTTTCATTTCAAATCGTAGTCTCATAATTTTCACATTTTCTAATAGATAAAAATTAGAATCTTTTTTTGAATAGGTCTGCAGCCATCAATGCAACCAGCTAATAAATTTTTGGTATCACATTGTTGTATTTGTTCAGCATATCAATCGCATGCATGCGCTAATAAATTTTAATTCATATTAAAAAGAAAGAATAAAAGATGTTTATTTTCACCAGTGCATTTATTCTAGATAAATATTATATCATTTTTTTCGCTCTCATTGACTTTCTAGATTGGTTCTTTCTTTCTTCATCACTATTCATCGATTGTTTATCGTAGTTCTGCCTCTCATTAGTTGATGAAACAATACGATCTTCGACCAGATCGTCCTAAAACAGGAGATGGTTTTTTTAAAAGAATCCATTTAGGACTGCATGATGACGATGATGTATACGATAACATAAAACATAGAGGTCCACCTAAAACTCGTTGGCTACGAGCAATAGCCGCCCATCTTCAACAAGCTATAGTGCGAGCTACATTTGATGGGGCGAGAGGAGAAAAACGAACAGGAAAAGTTTCACTATCCAATGCTGCAACAATAACTGCTTTAAAGAGCATTGGTATCGAGAATAAATGGGGTACAATGTCCTGATCTTGTTCAATTACTAGATTTACAAACCACTTTTATCAAAGGTGATTTTGCCAAAAAGGCGAATCGACTTGAATTTAAACTAGTCGAAAAGAAAGCTCATTATTTCGATGGTCAAAATAAACCTCGAGAAACAGCAGTAGCTTATTATCTATCTTTTCGCCTTCTTAAAGAAACTCCACAGCTACGTACTGTCATATAATCTTATAAATGACAATAATGTACATAATGTAAATAAGTAGAAAAAAAGTATTAAAACCTTTTGATGACATCTCTTCCTTCGGGCCGAATGTCACGCAGGAGAAAAAAATACTAGATACATTAATTTCCTCTCCTGTTTCCTTATTCTTCTTTTCCTCGTCAATTACTTCTCATCGAACCTAAAATGAAATCGATCGCCAATATCCTACAACAGATTAGTTAGGGTAGGGGAGAATTCGGCATGTTTTTATTCATTATGCTGTGCTCTGCTTTAATTATTTATTATGTTTTTATCGTTTGTCAGGATTCAACAGTGTTTATTTAGGAGTTTTGCAAACATTAAAAAGCTGATCCTGACCCTTTTGTTTTATTCTCGTTGGATACAGCACAGTTGAATCTAGATTAGACTTACATGTCTAATTCATATTGACTTTGTATCTTCTCATGAATGTACTCAAATGAAAGGATCAAATTGCCGATATAAATCATTTGAAAAACATGCGGAAAATTCATAAATTATTATTTGTTTATATTTTAGTCATTGAAATTTGTTATATCACAGTTCTGTATTGAATAATTTTACAATGAACAAGCATGGTAATATTATTCTTTATTATTATGCCAATCAATATTGATAAATAATATACACATTCATTCTATTATTTAGATAATCAAATGTCGATCAAAAATCAATTGTTTTATTTTCTTTTGACAACATCACAATTACCATCATACAACAAAAAAAATACGTGAGTTAAAATTTTAAAATAGAAATCATTTTCTTGCTTATTATATAAAAAAATGATTGAGTTTCTATTTTAGTTATTGTGTGTATGTTTATTCTGCATAAATTGAATTCATCAACAAATTTCTTATTATGGATCATGTTCATGGTAACATAACTTTATTCAAGAAAAAATAAAATGCTGAAACAATTTAATTTTTGTTTAGATTGCTTCCAATTCAAATGATCGTTATGCATATTCTGGTTGTTTATGTGAATCAATCATCAAATAGTTCCTCTATTCATTCAAAATAATGTACAAGCATTTTCTCATCATGTATCATCTACTGATTTTTTTTTAAATGCATCGTAATAAAACTAATTGATTCATTCAATAAAAAAATATTCTTTAACTCTCTATGAGGATCAATACATGTAATGAAAACAATTATACTCAAAAGTTATGTTAGATGATAAATCAGAGCGACAGTGTCAGTATTCTTGAACAAAAGAATTCAATTATCTGTTCTGTATGAAAGCAATTCTAGTTTTCTTGATTAATCTGCATTTGAAAATTCGTTAGTATCGATTGATAATTATCTCTTAAGAAAAAGAATTTTAAAGAAGCATAATCAATGCTAGTATTTAATAAACAAGAAAAAAACTTCTCAATTGACAGAAAGAATTATGCTCTTCTATTTGTTTAGTTCTAATTGCTTTTGAACATTACCAAGAGATTGTGTGTATTGATGTACCCACGTGGCGTTCGTCTTCATTAGTCATATATAAGAAGAATTATGATAATCAGTGAAAGGAAGAAAAATACCAAATGAATAAAATGAAGTTGATTTGAATAACTCAAATAAATATTTCATATCTGCACATTCATTTTGATCGAAATGAAATAGTTTGATATGAATGAGTATTAATACGAGAACGAAGAGATGAATTAAAGAGATATTGTACATGTTGTTAAACAATCGATATTTGATTCGAATCGATTAATTTTACAACAATAAAATGGATTTATTATTTTTTGTTAAATAATAAAATTGTTAATATTCATTTGATCTAATTTCATATGCACTTGATTCCTAATTAGCTTAATGATCATTAGCTAACGTTACAAGCAAAATCTTTTTTTTCTTGCCTTATAGATTGGTATACGTCCTATATGAATAGCGCTTAGCGCTATTCATATAGGACGTATACCAATCTATAAGGAAAGAAAAAAAAGATTTTGCTTGTAACGTTAGCTAATGATCATTAAGTTAATTAGGAATCAAGTGCATATGAAATTATATTCGATGAGTATTAATATGTCAATTGTTTTACATTAACAATTCTATTTTTCAATAAAGAAACAAAATCCTTCTTATTATTCGAATCAAATATCAATTGTTTAATAACATGTAAAATATCTCTTTTCAACTAATCTATTCATTCTCATATGAATATTCACTCGCATACTCTCTATTTTATCTCAATGAAAATAAATGTACATATTGAATCGTTATTTGAGTCCTTGAAATCAATTTCATCTTTCGTTTGATATTTTTTCCTATCACTTGTTATCAACTTTCTTTTTCTTAATGACTAGCGAAGACTAACACCACGTGGGTACATTAATGTGCACAATCTCTTGAAAAAGGTTCATAAGCAATTTGAACTAAACACGTACAAGAGCAAAATACTTGATCAATTGAGAAGTTTTTTTGTTTTTGTTTATAAAACAATAATGTTGATTCGATTTGTTTGAAGTTATTTTTCTAATGAGATATTTCTAAACGAAGATCAATTATTAAAATTGGCATTGTTTTCATACAAAAAGAATTAAATCATTTTCTTGAAATAGTCCATTATTGTTTCTATTTATGATCGAATAGAATCTTTGAGTATATTGTTTCTTTTGTTACATTTATTGATCATTGTAGAGAATTATAAAATCTTTTTTATTTAATGAATCTATTAACTTTATTATGATACATAGAAAAAAAAAATCACGATACATGATATATGTTAGGAAAATTTTTTGTGCATATTTCGAAGGAGTAGAGACGAACTATTTAATGATTTTTGTCTGAAGCAATCAGAATATCGATAACGATTATTTGGATTTATTTGGATTGTAAACAATCTAAAAGAATATAACATTAATTGAATACTTGATTTTCTCGTCTATAGAGTTATCTTACCATGATGAATAATAAGAAATTTGTAGATAGATCCAATTTATTCTGAATAAACATACAGACAATAACTAAAGAAAAAACAGTTCAATCGTTTTTTTTACACAATAACAAAAATTATTTCTATTTTAAATTTTAACTCACATATTTTTTTGTTGACTGGTGGTAATTCCAATGTTCCAAATAAGAAATAGAACAATTGGGATTCCATCGATGCTTGATCATGTAAATAACAGAATGGTTACTATTTATTAACATGGATTGATATGATAAAAATAATAATAAAATTACCATTCTTATTCATTTTAACATTGTTTAATATCGAATGAGGACATGAACACTTTCAATTACTAAAATATAAATAAATAAATGAATATATTTAATTATATCTTCTTTCTATATTTTTTAAGCGATTTATATCGACAATTTGATCCTTTCCCTTTAGTACATTCTTCAGAAGATACAAACTCAATATGAATTAGACATGTAAGTGCAATCTAGACTCAACTGTGTCGTATCCAACGAGAACGAAACAAAAGGGTCAGGATCAGTTTTTGGTGTTTGCAAAACTTCTAAATAAACACTTTACTGAATCCTGACAAATGATAAAAACATAAGAAATAATTAAAGCGAAGCAAGCAAAGCACAACATAGTCTATCAAAACATGCAAAAACATATTTCTTACCCTTGAGATGATTTTTTTTAAGAAACCATCAGAATAGATTGACTTTTAGTTTTAATAAGAGATAAACCCAGAGAAGAAGAAATATGAACGAGACGAGAGAAGAAAAATATGTGTCTACTATTTTTTATTGTTTTGTTTTTCTTGACATTCGGCCCTAAGGAAGAAATATCAAAGAAAGACTTTTTCAATATGTATTTACAATTTTTGTTTTTATTATGGAAAAGTACATTGATATTTGGTTTTTCTATATGGGCAAACTAAACGTACGTTTTGCGTTGTCGTTAGCAATACGAATGATAGCTGATGCATTTTTCCCTGGTGCTCGAAGAACATCTTCTATCCATTTCGAAACGATAAATATACCACTACATGGATTAAATTCATGTACAGGAAGATGTTTTGGACAAAGCCATGGACAATCGGTCTCTAAAACAAGATGTGTTAGAAGTGTGGGATGATTTCGAATCCATTTTTTGAATACTTTGTCCTGATCTATATCTCGAATGTGTGTACTCGCTCCATTTAAAGACACAACGGAGTTAGGGAAGATCGACATGAAGCGATCAATTATTTCTAAATTACTATCTGATTTTACACAATGCCACTAAACATGATGGGGTACTGGTAAAATGGATTCCATGCAATCAAGCATTGTATTAAAATGAGAATAGCCACGGCAATGAAGAATTAAAGGCAAATTTAAATTTCTTGCCAAAAGTACTTGCCGTTCAAAAGCTAATTTTTGATAATCTAATGGAGATTTACTTGTTTCATCCAATCCTGTTTCACCTACACCGGCAATATGTCGTTCGGATAGAGGATGCAAGTT